CTGGCCACATACACCCAGGCTGGTGGGTTTGAACCCAGCCAGATTAAGCCCAAGAGTTTGAGGTTGCTGTGAGCTAGGCTGAGGCCACTGCATTCTATTTAGGGGCAACAGAGTGAGACCGTCTGGAAAAAAAAAATAATACTACATGGAGGTAGAAGGATGAAGAGAGTGAAGTGAGAAATTTTGTTTTAGGTACAGGAAGAACTGAGCACATTCAGTTCACAGAAGAGACGATGAAGGTTCGAGAAGAGGTACAGGAAAGAGACAGAAGGCCACAGGCTTGAGATCTCTGGAAAGGAGGAAAGAGTTGTATTTTCTGGAAAGACAACAAAAGAGAGGAAGAGACACCACCTGGAATGACCCTCAGGTGGGATGTGGGCTGTAGGGTGGGGGGAAGCCAGTCAGTCAGAGGTGGTCTTTGCTGCCAGCTTCTGCATCTGTAAACACGGGAATAATACCTACCCCCAGGAGTGTCTGCAGGGACTACAAGTTACTGTGGATAAGGCCTCTAGCTGAGTGTGTGCTACACAGGAGCCTGCACCCACCAGTCTCCATCCTAGTCAAATACTTACAGGGAGGGCTCGGTGCCTATAGCTCAGGGGCTAGGACGCTGGCCACATGAACTGAGGCTGGAGGGTTCAAACCCAGCCTGGGCCTGCTAAATAACAATGACAACTGCAACAAAAAAATAACCAGGCGTTGTGGCGCGTGCCTATAGTCCCAGCTACTTGGGAGGCTGAGGCAGGAGAAGGCTGAGGCTTAAGCCCAAGAGTTTGAGGTTGCTATGAGCTATGATGCCACGGCACTGTACCCAGGGTGATGTAGTAAGATTCTGTCTCAAAAAACCAAACCAAAACAACAACAACAAAAACTTACAGGGATGAGGGTGCAGGTGGCTTCATGGGCCCAAAGGTAGTGAGAACTGGAGGCGCCTCCTGGCGAGTTTGGGGAAGGAGGTGAAGGGAAGCAGGACAACAGCTAATGAATGAATTCTCCCCTCCAGTAAGAAACGAGTGGGCTGGCTCTGTGCCCACAGCACAGTGGTTACTGCACCGGCCACATGCACCGAGGGTGGCAGGTTCAAACCC